CAATAAGATTATTGGCTGTGTTAGCTAGCCATCTAGCTAGGTTTTCTGCATCTATCCATCCATCCATCCATTTTCTGAGCACCCTTCTCCCTAACAGGGTCGGGAGGTGCTGGTGCCTCTCCAGCTGCGTTCCGGGCGAGAGGCGGGGTTCACCCTGGACAAGTCGCCAGTCTGTCGCAGGGCAACACAGAGACAAACAGGACAAACAACCAAGCAACACATACTCACACCTAGGGAGAATTTGGGAAGGCCAATTAACCTGACAGTCATGTTTTTGGACTGTGGGAGGAAGCCGGAGAACCCGGAGAGAACCCACGCACGCACAGGGAGAACATGCAAACTCCATGCAGAAAGACCCAGGGCCAGGAATCGAACCCAAGACCTTCTTGCTGCAAGGCAACAGCGCTACCCACTGTGTCACTGTGGTTTTCTGCATCTATAACGGTTAAATTCTAATTTGTCGTCAATTTGGTGGTTGAGTCTGTACATTTCTGAGGAGATTTAGGTCTTAAATGTTATTCTTAAAAAGTCTTAAATTCCTACAGGCTGAACTGTGTTAGCTGTGTAAGCTAACACACTGTGTAAGCTAATACATAGCGGTGTAAGATGTCTGGTTGGGGAAGGTAAATTCTCAACATTGGTTGTGGCAGAAATTATTTAAAGAATGGATAAATCAGGTTACCTACAACCAGAAGGTCAGATTGTAGATTTATGGGACATAAAACCAAAAAATGATACGGTTTATGGTTATTGTAGCTGAAAGTAAAAAAGAGAATAACACTCATGCCACCTCCAGTAGTGATGTTTTCTGACATTAAATGTGCACCTCGGCATACTTCATTCATGTATTGAGTCAAAGTCACTCACCTGGTACAGAAAGTCATCCAACAAACCCGCCTTGTGTCAAGCGACGCTTCATGACTCAGACACGGGGGGAGAAACACGGTTTGTGGGGTGGAGCGAGCAGAAGGAGTTTATAAGAACAAACAGAGACCCTCACTCCAGATGAAACTTCAGAGAGGGACGGAGAATCTGATAGTAAAAGCTAAAACAGAACAACCGCTCGCCGTTTTTCGCGCTGCTGACATCAGTTCGCCCCCTGTATGCGTCCGACGCAGCGGCGCTTCAGTCATCACCGCCCGCTGCTGCCGCTGCTCCGGCCGCGGACCATGGAGGGAGTGAAGTTCGCGGCGGTGCTGCTGCTGGTCGTGTTGGTGCAGACCGTCAGCGCGCTGGGGGCTCCGCTGTCCGCGGAGGACGAGGAGGGACAAATGTGGACGGTGGACAACTGGCAGGTAAGACAGAAACCAGGCAAACATGGCGGGTTCACGGAGTTTGGTCCGAGTTTCAGCTCATATTAAGAACGTAACAAGCGCTGCGGGGACCCGCGCGCGCATGTAGGAGAGAAATAAAATAAAATTAAATTAAACTAAATATGATAAAATGAAATAAAAATAATTACAATCAAATGTAATAAAATGAAATAAAATATGATAACATGAAATTACATAATATAAAATAAAATGTAATAAAATAAAAATAAATAAAATAAAATCTGAACGCACCTTCAATTTTAGCTCAATATTTGAAAATAAACATCCAACAACTGTGATTTTGGTTTAGCACTATTTTGATCTAAACATTGATTTTAAACAAGAATTATAATACAAAAAAGATGATAAGGTGAAAGAAGTATTGACATGTATTTTCAAACCAATACAGTAAGACTGCTTAATTTTTAGCACAATATTTGAAAAAAAAAAAAAAAAAAAACATATCTGATTTGGTTTTGAAGTGTGCTATTTTTCTGTAAAAACTCATGTTGAGCAAGAATTTGAGTGCAAAGAAGACTGTCACAGTGAAAAGTATTGCCATACATTTTAAAGTCAATACACATCAAACTGCTCATTATGCACCATCTGACAAATCTAAGAAGACAAATATAATTTCTCCTCTTCTCACCAAAAGAGAATTACATCAGCGTGCTTTATCCAAAAGTCTTCATCAAAATGCAGAGTACAGTCCAGCTGATACCACAAGCTGTCTTAAATTGTAATAATGATAAATTGTGATGTGTTTCTAGATTTCAAAAAACAGTTTTGTTGTTTTTTTTTTTATTTATTTCATAAAGCTGAGAGATTGTTGTTGCGTAATAAAATAAACAGTTCTATTTGAATTTGAAAGTCACCATCTAACCTACGTTTGATTTGGGTGGAATTTATCCAGGATATCTGAGTAGAAATGATGTAGATTTAACTGAAAAAAATACGCAAACCAGTTCAATTCCAGCAAATTTATACGTAAAAAACATGAAAAAAGTATAAAACGTAAGTAAAATGTAAAAATAGTAATAATAATAATAATAAGTTTCATTTCCACCAAAGTGGTATTTGAAACATTCTACAGCTAAGGTGTGGCGTTCCTTGGCAACGACGTTTTAAGTAAAATTACTTTAGGTGAAGCAGAAATTGTTGCCATAGATAAAACTTCAATCCATTTTGAATTGTTCAGGATTGTTCTGAGCCATAAGTCGGATGACGCTTTTTAAATTTGACTGGTCTCCATTCATCATATGTCAGAAAACGAAACATCGGTTGACATTAGGTTGAAAATAAAAAAATATACACATATCTAGATGTTTCAGACGTTCTTTTTTACAGTGCACCAGCTGGTAATAATGAATCCGACAAATCGTTTTGCTTTAGACAGTTAGATTTAACTGTTCAGAGGATTCATGCCTGTCTTGTGTCTCAGGGTTTCCCAGTGGAGAGAGGATTAACCATCCGGCTGGCAGATCTGATCAAGAGGTCCAAAGCACAGCAGTTCCACGGCCTGATGGGAAGAAGTCCGGGTAAAACTATCAATCAAAAATTATAAATACATTTAAAAAAATCAACGCCTGAGCTCTTATTTTAGTTTTTTCCAATATGTCTTTCATATTTTATTCCAGGTTCGTCAGCAAGACTGGGCAGAAAACGTGAGTTGAGTCACATCTCGGTCGTAACGATGTCTTCGAAATGAATGTTTTCCCTTCACCCTTTTCTTTCGTCGTGTCTCTTTTCAATCAGGAAATAATAACAACAAAGGCGAGATGTTTGTTGGACTCATGGGCAGGAGAAGTTTAGAAGGTAACGCCACCTCACTCTTCTTCACGCGTTCCTCATGTGGACGTTCTTGAGGGTCGAGTAAAAAAAAATGTAATCGCTCCGCTTTTCCTCCCTCCCCCCTCCAGACAGTGACGAAGAGTGGAAACCTGACTCCTTCTGAAGATGACTCGGAAAAAAAGATTAACTAAAACAGAAAGCTTCACTGTAACGAGGTTTTCTATTCAGTACCTCTGCAGATCCACAAGACGTGGTGATGCGCACCTGCAGCAGTAAACGTGAATAAATGCAAGATTCTGGAAATTCATGTCATTCAGATCTTTGCCATGAATCTTGTCATCTGCTGTATGTTGTTGATGTTTTATTTAGACACATTTAAATCCCGTCAGTGGATTTATTCAGTAATACTTATCAACACCTGACATATCTGCCATCTGTATGTGATTTCCCACATTATGAGGAATGTTATTGAAGTGAACAGTTGCGACACAGTGGTATTTTATTTTTGCATTTTTTTTAACATTTTGATTAGTTTAAGCAAATTTGCCATTGTTTGGTATTGAAAAACAAAGTTCCAATTGTTTCGTGACAGCAAAATACATCATATTGTTGCATATTAATGAATTAAAACTTGGTTTTGGCCACACGGCTTCTTGTTCATTCCTAAATGGTGGAAAATGTCGAGTTTAATGCGTTAGACCAACACATATCTCTGCAATGGGAGGAAAACAATTCACCAATAAAGTAATGAATCTTTGGGTTGGACGCTAACGTCTGTTGGGCAGCAGGTGGTGTACTCCCACACCAGTCCATCTTGGCAAAAAAGCTCTTAATGTTTTAACAATAAAAAATCGGTTAGTATGGTGAGCATGTTTATTGATCGCCAATGAGTCAATAATGTCAGTCCACCTTTCATTGGAAGGTTTTTGGGGATGTGTGTCTTGAACAGGCTAACACTTCTAGACAGTCAACATTTTTACAGGTTCTTTTTTGTGAAGCAGCTTCAGGTTACGTAAATTTGCTGTAAAAATTAGTGAACATAAATGTCCCACTGATTCCAATTTGATTCAAGTCTGGACTTTGACTGCTCCATCCACGCTCTAAACCATTTCCATTCCCGTTCTGGCTCTAATTTATTTTAGGGCTGCCGTCTTACAGGAACGTGACGATTTGAGATGCACGAAACTGTCAATTTTAACAGTTCAAATACCAAATATACCTCAATGTGAATTAGTACATACTGGAAACTATCTTAATCCTGCATCCACTCTTGGATCGGCTGCTTTGTAACCAGCCAGTTTGTCAAATTCCATTGTACCTTGGCATTTTCTCACCCCAATTTTGTTGCTTTCTTGTGGTTTCGGAAATTGACGGGTTCACGATGGGACAACGCACCTCTCTCTATCCTCCCGCCTTCCCCGCTGTCCAAACGTGATATCTGTCACGCTTTTTCTGAGCATCACGCCAAGACCGCAATAGGTCTTTGAAGAGAAAAATATCCACAAGCAGGCAAATTTTCCAAGAATAATTTAGTTACCTTCCACAGAAAAATCCTTGAACATCTGAATGGACAAACACTGAGCAGGCACAGGCACGGTTCTGATCATTTCAATTTGTCTTGCATGCCAAACAATAAACTTCATCACAAATTCAAGGACATTTTTTGGTTTCAAGGTATTTCTAAAATGACAAAAAAAAATTGGACCAAAGTCCATTGAAATATGAATGGTGAAAACAAAAGGCCTTAGTTTCGTTGCATGGCTTTCTGCTCATTTCCTGTACGCTCAACCTGACTGAAAGTTTTCAGCGATTTCCCAGTGACTTCTTCATGTTAACCTTCCTTAGCGTGATCGTGTCGCAAAGTGAAATCGACTGACACACAAACTCACCAGGCCATCCGTTTCAACGATTGCATTTATTAGGTGGAAGGGGGCGAAGCAAAGTGCAAAAGCACAACTCAGCTACATACCAATGCCACGTTTCGCTACTTTTCTGTGTTGCTGCTTTGTGAGTAGGTAGTAGCAGTATACAACAGCTTGCCGCCGACTGATGGAAGCTGATGGAAAGTTTACTTAGTGACATATGTAGATATATATATATATTTCTATTTATATTTAGGAAGGTGAAGACCTGTAACAAGTTTGGAAGCTGTCTATCTATAGCTGCCATTGGCACAAAAACCAAAAGAAACACACGAAAAAGGTAAAAAACAAACAAACAAAAAAACACAAAACAATAATTGGATAAGAAAAAAATACACAATACAAAAGAAATAAAATGAATATGGTGACCTCAAGGCAGAAAAAGACACGATGTGAGAATATCTCACTATAGTTACAATGGTCTGATACGCTCAACACAGACTATTTCTGACAAAATAATCTGTGGTGTGGAGCTCCTTATTTCAAGTTTATTTGTCAAATGAAAATTTCATGTTATAAAATAAAATAACGGGTAACACTTTATTTGAATTCATAAACATGACATAACATCTGTTATGACCATGAAGGGATCTTCATGAATGTTCATGATGTTGTCATGAAGTGTCGTTCGGTAAATAATGACACTTATGCAAGGCAGCATTAAAAGTCCAAATGTGTCAATTTTGCATTGAAAGTGTCATTATTTGCCGAACGACGCTTCATGACAACAGACTTAAACAATCCTGAAGATTCTTCATGTTCGTGTCAGTCTTATAGACACCATTCAAATAAAGCGTCACCAAATAGGATGTACTCCTTTTGTGTTAAAAACAAGGTAACAATTCTCCCAGGTTTAAGAAATAGAAAATTTCTTGTAAAAGACGAGCGCTCAACACCGGAAGATTCACAGTCGAGTATGAAACAGTCATGTGAAGAGTTTCCTTGGATAAATTTTTGTTCTTAGACAACTTTAAACCAATGGAGTGCGCTTTGCCTTTAACGGTTGGCACAAAAAAAATCCTTACTTAGAAGTAAAAAAGTTCGGCCTGCCAGCCATGTTTCTACAGATGCATGACCAGAGGAAACAAAGAAACAGTGAGACATCTTCAACTACACATATTTTACAGAAAGAATATGTTACACCACACTAGACAAAATGTACAACTAAACTACAGTCTGGCAGACAAAAAAAAAAAAAAAAAAGTCAGTAACTAAAGGATTAAAGCTCCAAAACAAAACGTCAACTGGGAAAAATACATGTTTTGTGATCAAATGATGTTGAAAATTGAATTTCATCACAAGCCACTTATGTTGTTTCTTGTTGCTTACGAAACTAAGAGCTAAGATAGCATGCACTTAAAAGCCAAATACACAGCCAAGCTAAGCTAGCATTATAAAGCAGGCTAAATACAAATTTAAGTCAGTATCTACTCAGATTGCTGAGGTAAATAAAAGTGAATGCGACAGTCATTCATCTTAGCTAACCCTGTGCTAAGCAATCACTCAATTTGCGTAACTAAAGACAAAGCTAAGATAGTAGCTTAGCTTAGCTTAGCTGTATACAAAGCTATGGTGAGCAACCACTCAAACTGCTTAAATACAGAATAAAGATGACAGTCAGCTTAGTTAAGTACAAAGCTACGCTAAGCTACCATTCAAATTGCTTTGCAATCACTCAAATTCAGGCACAAAGCTAAGACAGCAGTGAGCTAGCTTAGATACGTTTAAAAAAAATTATGTCAGGCTACCACACAAATTTAAGCTAGGACATCAATCAGTTAGCTTAGCTAAGAACATGCTACAAAACAAAGCCGAGATAACAGTCACTTAGCTTGGCTAAGTACAAAGCTACGCAAAGCTACCATTCAGATAGCTTAGCTAAACTAAGTACGAAGCTATGCTCAACAACTACCCAGATTGATGGTTGCTAAGTACAAATCTATGGTATAGTGGTTTTGCTTAGCCCCAGTAAGAAGCAAAGCAAGAATAGCAATAAAACAAAAAAAGTGCAAATCAAAGCTAGCAGCTGGTTGTAGCTAAGTACAAAACTAAGCTGAACTACCCAGTTTTCTCAGCTTATTTCAAAGACTAAAACAAAAAGAAACTAGAAGATTGACTTGGTTCTAAACAAGGACCCATGTGAGTCCCATAAATATGTTCTACATTTGGTTTATTTTAAACTGTTCAATTACAGGAGCAGAAGAAGCAACAACCTGGCTCAAAGTCTTTGTGCTAATCTAACGAAAACGGTAGTAGGCTTTAGCTTATTTATCTTACAGCATATTCTCAAAAATAATAAACTGTGCATTTAACAGATTTTGACTAAAAACATAAATAGAATTAGATTAATTACCGATACAAATAATAAAAACAAAGCCCCTTCCGGTCCGTCAGTGTGGGCTGCCAGTCATACTTATTTAAACCCTATTCATCCTTGTCGAGTTTATTTGCTGTTACAAGTGGTGACAACGTGCAAAAATGACACATTTTGACTCAGTCTTGTCACTTCTTATAGCAGGCAATAAGCCTCTGAAATGTAAAAAACACAAAACAAATTTCTGTTACTGTTTGGTGGGTCGGATGACCTGAAATTCTCCCTCTTTAAACGACCTTTCAACAATCATATCTACATATTGGTCTCACATAAATATATTTACGAGAAAGTCAGTCCAGCTAAATAAAACATCCCTTTACGCTCTACAGTTAAGAATATAAATACCCCCAGGAGAAAAATGTAAATATTATCTATAATCCAATTAAAAAAAGGGAAACACCTAGTGGGTTAAACCACTAGAAAAAAAATAAAATAAAATTGTCAACACATGGTAAAAAGGAAAACACAGTACAACAGTTGCTTGAATTGTTAAACAGTAGTAAAACCTCAGAGGTAGAAAAAGTATAAAACTGAAATGAGAACTTTTAAAAACGAAAGGATTCAGAACAGACGTGTGTAGCCTCGGACACCGCAAACATCACGAGTGATACGGAAACGAGTAAAAACAGGCAAGAGGTGATCCCACACCCACATCCGGGTGGAAATCTGTCCGACAGCAGAGGGCCGTCTGAATGTGGCCAGTGGCAGCTATAGCTTCCTGGCAAGGTGACCGCCGAGACAGACTGAACGTAAGACACGAGACGCGTACAACTTATTTGCTTTGGGTTCAAACAGACATTTTTTTTTGGGGGGGGGATTCCATTTCTTCGACGTTACCAGATGAAAGGTTACTGAAATATTTCCAAATTGATATTTAGTGGGGATAAAATGTTGACTTCAGATGTAGATTGGTAAGAAGTGCTGGTTCACTCCACTCACTTGTACACAGTCATTGGAACAAAAGCAGTAGATTTTAAAACCAACGTCTAAGGAAATCATCCCATTCAAGTCGGAAACGGTGTGTAAATGAGTTTCTCTAGATATTTGAAAGACAAACAGTAAGAATTTCAACTCTAAACAAGTTCATAAGACAATTATTTTTAACAAGCCCACTTGTTCAGAGCTCCTGTTTTCTCAAATTGTGTATTTTCAGGTTGTGTCCTTCTGATTCCCAGCCAGGCCAGCTGGTTTGCTTCAGCCACGACGTGTCCGCAAAGGTCAACATGTTGCCGACCTGCGTTGCATCTCCACGGCGGAACAAGGTGCGGCTCCAGTTCGATGCCACAGATTGGATTAGCAGGCGTGTCTGGTGCCCGTTACTAATTGCGTGAGGAGGTAGGCGAGCGGCGCCCTATTAGTTTCACTTTTCAGAAACACACGGGCTCACTGAGACCTAAGACCAAACTACACAGTGATTCTGACATCCTGCATGCAAAGACTTCATAGTTCCTTGCAAAAAGTATTCACACTCCTTGATTTATTTATTTATTTATTTATTTATTTTTTTTTGGTCATTTGGGAATGTTTTCCTTCAACAGCCGGGAAAGCTGGTACGAGTTGGAAGATGGGCGGAGCTAAACACATGGAAATCTTGGAGGAAAACCAGTTACAAGCTACAAAAAGTTCAAGACTGAGGAGGTTTTATGTAAAGCACGTCAACGGTAGTGGGTATGAATACTTTTGCAAGACACCGTCGGTCCAAATCTAAAAAGAAACGATAAGGAAAATCCTTAACTCTGCTCTCAACCTGAAGTTCATAAAAAGTGTAAAACTTTATCTACCCTGTACAAACATTTGGAGTCTTTCTTTGCATAAATAAGTTAATATATAGGAACATACACAGCAAATATCACAATTTCTCTGTGGATACAACCATTTTAGTTGGAAAAATTTCTCATTAACTAACCCATAAATTTAATGGCCTAGTCCAAGTGTAACTTCTTTTTCTCTTCATGTCATCAGTTCAAGCCCTATTAAAATCCAGGTCCAACTTTGTCCACATTTTCCCTCCTGTTCCTTTTCACGCAAAGTTTTTCACCATGTACCACGTGAACCCTGGGAATAATAATTATAATAATAATAACAATAATAATAATAAAAACCTTTAAAATTTACACAGAGATATATTTGTTTCATTTAAGTCAACACATAAACTGTTTGAACCCAAAGAAATGATGAACGGTAGTCAGATGTGACTGTGCTGCAGCTGTGAGGACGCCAGTAAACGAAGGAGGAGGAAGAAGGAAGCTCCTTTACGTCCCTTTAGGCGGTGTCCATTTTAAGGCCGTGGGGTCAATGGTCTTCCCATTGCCGCGTTTTGTCTCTTTTGCCTTCCAGTCGTCAATGAGGTCCTTTGGAAAAAGGAGAAAAAAAGACAGTTAATGACTAGATGGGAAAATAAACTGCAAACCAAAGAAAACGGTCCCGAGTTCTTTACCTGTCTCTTTAAAACCAGGTGTTTTCCTTTCCAGTATTTGAGCATTTGAAGGGACTGCAGTGTGCTGACAATGTCCACTGGATTCACTGCTGTCTCCTGACTGATCTCTGCAACAGAAAGGGAGAAATTAAAGGAGTTTAGGGGGGTGGGGTCAGCAGCGTCAGCCGAATCCATGGTCCTCAGGGGTTCTAATATATGGCTGGTACCAATGAGCCACATCGGTACCAATCTTGGTACCAGCCATATTGGTTTGTACCAATATAGCTAGTATTTAAATGACCCAATCAGAATGGTCAATTCTAATTTGACCGTATAATTGTTCAAGTTAGAATTACAAAAATAAATAAATTTGCTTCATGGAAATACAGCAATTTTGAGAAATAAAAAAACATCAAAATTAACATAATTTGCAAAACTGCAATGGGAACAGTTTTTTCTCATCGCACAAGTCGTGTGATCCACAGTTTGACGTTACTACTGCCAGAAATGACAAAGAAAACGACAGGAAGTGGTAGGAGGATGATGCGCAGCATGTTTTTTTTTTTTTAATAAACATCCATATCCAATTTTGATTTAATTTCTTTTAAGACAATTAGCATTTTGACATTAGCAGAATATTGAACAAAGTTTTGCGCAAATTTGAATGGAAATGCAGCTAATGAGAGATGCTACCGTAGAGATCTTGCTAAATATTTCAGTTCTAGAATGTGACTTCAGTGCTTTTTCCCTTGAAGGATATCGACTTTAAAGGCTTTCAAATGCAGCAATTATACTGTTAGCACTATTAATGACGGGTTAAATATTTTAAATCCATTACTCATTCATGACAAAGCAAAATGGAAATGAGAAACAACATATCTCAGCAAGCGGGCAGTTCAAAGTGTTTTTTAGAGTATAAAAAAAATAATATAGCGACTAACTTATGAAACAAGATTTTGTTAAATGAGAACAACAAAATCATCAAGCTCATATACTGTGACTATATTTATTAATGTTCCAGTTATTATGAATCAAACATAGATTTAAAGCAAAGGGCCTTTATTTAAAAGATTTTAATTTAAAAGAACTGTTTTGCAGTTTTCTGGAAGTTTGTTCCAGATTAGTGGTGCATAGAAACTGAAAGCTGCTTCTACATGGCAACTTTTCAGACAAAAATATATAAATAAAAATAAAAAATTGGCAATGCCCAAAATCTAATGATTAAATATTAGTGATTGAGCAGAAAACTTCAATTAGCGAACCCCTAGTTTTCACTCATACGTCTGAATCCATGTTGTGAAAAATTGGACGGAATTTTCCTTAAAAATCTGTCTTTCTCTATTAAGCACATTGAAGCACATCAGATCTACTAACTGTCATATGAGCTTTGCTGCCTCTTGGCTAGGGCTCTCTTGAAAAAGACGTTTTCAATCTGAATGGGACTTTCCTGGTTAAATAAAGGCAACATAATAATAAAAGAAAAACATTACAACCTTTGATGGAGATCTCCTTTCCCTGAAAACTGTTGAGGTACCGCAGCAGAACATCCTTCCAGTAACTTCTGTAGCTGATCAGACCCAGGTCGGACAGAGGGCGCTCAGGCGAGCCCACCTTTTCCTCCACCTTGGACAACAGGTAGCCTGTTTGTTGTTTTTGGACAGCAGAGAAAGTTGTTGTTTTTAACTGAATTCTCTGCACATGTCTCAGTGCAGACCAGAAAAGACGTACAACAGTTTTGAGGAATGTTTTCTGAGAGGCACCTTCCAAAATCAGGTGACATTTATCAGTGAATGAGAGCAGTGCTTGTACTCACTGAAGTCAATGAGCATCTTTCCGTAGCCTTGCCTCATGTACTGCGGCATGGTGAGGATGCAGGACACGTTGTAGTTCAAGAACGAGTTCTTCTCCTGTGGAAGGAGAGGAAACTGCTGTGACAGAACAGGAAGTGGCCCCTGGGCTGGAAACCATCTTAACTGGGTCTGAACTGACAATGACAAGTTTAACATGTCCGCTACGCAGTACCTCCATGTTACTTCTATTCATGAAAATTCCAAAATAAAAAGTACAATGTCTGCAAAATATGCATTCATTAAAAAAATTACAAAACATTTGTGGGTGTTCTGGTATCTGACAGTTTGAACTAGTGCGGGATGGAAAATATGGCTTTAAAAAAAAAAATCTTAGATTTTTTTTAATCCAAGATAAAATTTCTAATTTTAATCCATTTCCCCCTTTTAGTTCTTTAAAAAAAGAAGAAAAAGTACAAATGACTGGCTTTTATTTCAATCATTCTTTCTTTGAGTTGACCTGAATTCAAAGTCAAAAATAAATAGAAGCTGTACAACAGGCTTATCAAACAAGATGGTAGTTCTTAGACGGGCTAATGTCACTCTGGACTATGGAAATCCAAGCAGACCATTGGTGGAAAGAAACAAAAACTAGATTTTCCAAAAATCTAAGTTTGACAAAATCGATAAACTCAATTAGTATGGACACCTCCAACTTCTTGATGCTTTAAAAACGTAACCCTAGATAATTACCTTGGTGTTGCATTCACAGGCTAACATCATGCGACCCAGTTTCCACAAAGTGAGAAAGCAGTAGGCTTCTGAAGGCGTTACCTTGGAGAAATACCCGACGAGGTGACATCCCGTGTTGTCGGCTTCCGTCATGACGTAGAAGAGGAACGGCTCCACGTCGTAATACAGCGTCTTGTGGTCCAGGAAGAGTTTCGCTAGCAGACACAAGTTCTGACAGTAAATCTGGGAGTGGAGAGAACGCAACGGGTTGATGAAACCCATTTGTTTTGACTGACAGTGGTTAGCGAAAGGGACGAGAGATGTAAAGCTTTGCCTTGTTCTTCTTCCCGTCCACCTCAAAGACAGAGATGTTCGCCTTTCTGTAGATCTCGTCACCTGGTGGATGCTTCCACACGCACTTGGCCTTGAGCAGCAAAAACAACTTCAGGTTCAAAATGTTTTCAAAATCAAAATTTGAACTCAAATATTGAGCAGTAGGGGTGCCCTACCATGTGCCTGCGCAGAATGGTCTGGCTCTTCATATACTTGAGGCAGAACTCGCACATGAAGAGCCTCCCCAGGCGGGCGTACTCCTCGGGGTACGGCGAGTGGTACCAGGTGTCCAACTCGAAGCGGCCGAACACGATGGTTTTGATCATGTTGCTGCCCTCCGACACCTGGCCGGCCAGACGGAGCTTTTCCTGCGCAGACGGGCGGGGCAAACGGGACAGAAGGCGACGGAGAGGAGACGGGGAGGGAAGGAGGGAACAAAGATTCAATTATTGAAGGGAAGACAAAGGAACCGCCTTAGTGGAGGGAACCGGCCAAGAAAATTAAAGGTGTAGGAAGAAAAGTCGGATGAGGAAGTAATGCTTTTAAGCTTCGCTTGGATAGAGGAACGTCAGCTGGACTGAAAAAAGAAAATAAATAAATCTGAACGCTGCAAAAGCAATAAATCTTACCAAGTGTTTTGTCTAGTTTCTAGTGAACATTCTTGAATATCATTGTCACTAAATGCACCTTGTATTACCATGTATGTTCCAATGGTTTTAACTGTTATTATTACATATGCATACGTTGTTTGTTCCTGTGGTTTCTCGGTTTTCTTTTCTCTCTTTCTGCAGCTTTAGAGGCTTTAGAGACTACAAGAGTCTTGACTTGTGTTCCCTGTATGCTTCTTGCTTCCTGTTTTACATTCAAACTTCTTCTCCACCCCCCCCTTCTCCCTTTCTCTTTCTATCTGTGTCAATTAGATTTGGAATAAATCCAAAGAAATTTCTATTAAAGTTTCTTCTGCATGTAGAGAGGAGCATCATGGGGAAAGCAGTAATCCTGCGCTTGTGAAAGTAAAGCCATTGGGCCTCACCTTGACACACTGCCACACCGAACATGTTCAAAAAATATATATTCAAAATTACAAGCTCCATTCGGGCATGTCACAATAAGTGTTGCTGGACCACAAGTTGTCCTTGTTATTATTGCAATAATCGACATTATTGTTGTTTTGAGACCATTTTCAAGTTCTTTAATGATGACGGCATAATAATGCAAGTTTGCTCTCTCAAAAAAAGTCATTTTAAATTTCGCAAAGGACACTTTGAACTGAAAGATTTTTTTAAATATCCGAATTAAAACACGACAACCAAAAAGCAATAAATAAAACGGGAATAAAAACCTTGCACAACTGAAACTGCAAATAAAATGGATTATGATGTTTCTGTAAACAAAATTGCCTGTCAAGAAATATTAATCATCAGAGTGGAAATGATCAAGTTCGTCATTGTTATTAATTGGTTAATTACTTACTGTGACAGTCTACAAAATGTCTTTCCCGTGTTATAAATTAAAAAAAGAAAAATCTGTTAGTAGAACTAGACTTTTTAAAATCAATATTCAGGAATCACTGACTTTAAAATCATATATTTCCTTGTCAGTTAGTTTTGTCTTAGTTCAAGTGTATGAAGAAGGGAAAAAAATACTCGGGTAAGATTTTTGTGTTTTTGAAGTGAATCTACTGGGTTATTACTACATTTCATTATCAGCTAACATCTGGTAAATTCCTCTCATCTGAAGTATCAGAAATGAACATGGAATGATATGAAGTGATCATCCAAACTACCAAATCTATCTGAGACTCCTGCTGTGGCTGCAGAGGAAGGTTTTCAGACTGAAAAAGAGAAGAAGAGAAGTAAGGTAGGAAAAGGGGAGAAGCGGGGGGAGATTATCAACAAAAACAACAACAAAAAAAAAGCAGAAGGAAGGAAAAGTGGAAGGGTGGGAGGTGATGATGAGTTTTCTCTCTTACAAGGTCCTCCGAGGCACGTGCCTGCGCTTTCCTGAACAGCTCGAGGTCGTAGTCGCTGGTGATGTTCTCCAGCAGCGGCTCCCGGCTCGTCCCGTGGCTCTGTCGGTGTTCCTGGGAGCAAGTGGGGGAAAATAACCAGAAAAGTGGGACTTTTATAACGTGGAGACGATTCGGTCTGACGTCTCCTCTCTGCTTACTGTATATTTCTCCTTCTGCTCCTTATTGAGGACAGAGTTCCTCTTCCTCCTCAGCTCTGTCACCTTGTCTTTGTAGCGCTGCTGTCCCTCTGTGGGGGGCTGGAACAAACACAGTTTGCTGAGTTGGGCCCAACATAAAGCTGAGATGGACCTTCGCAGATCAAGATTATGGGTTGATAAGAGGTATCATGTAGCTGCCTTCGGAGTATGTTTTCATAAACTGATTACTTATAGCTTATTCAAAATCAGCTACTCAAAATTATACCAAAAACACAATCTGTATTCTGGTAATGTGACTTTATTCTCGTACGACTGCAACTTTATTCTAGTAATATTATGACTTTACTCTCCTACTACGACTTTATTTTCATATTATAGTGACTTTAATCTCATAATATTACTACTATTCTGGTTTTACTACCTAGTATCAGATATGTCATTTTTTGACCAACTGTGATGCAGCGATGTGGTACAATTTAGATTTTTGGCCAATTGATTGTTACGTCACTGACAATTACTGGTACCAAAGTATGATAAGGTTTTACTTGTGGTTTAAAACAGCAGAAATCCTTAAATTGTTTTTTTATGATTAAACATAGACAGATGCGACATCCATCATTCCAAGTTTTAACGCCACACTGCTGTTTTAAACAAATCAATTTAAAAAAAATACGACAAATTAAATGTTTTTAGTTTTAAATGTTTGTCTAAATGCAATGATAATTTTACACAAGGTTATATTAAAAGAATAGGAAAAGATTTTGAATTAAGTAAAAGTTAACTTTTTAAATTAACAAATAAATGAACTTGGAACTCGTTTCAGATTGTGTTTGTTTTCTCTGTTTACTCCAATCTCATAATCTCCTTTCAGACATTTAGAACGACCTGCCTTTTCAAATCAAGTGAACAGGTGCGTCAGACCTGGATTTTACTGTGAACCAAGTGACAGTAACCCGTCATCGCTTTGACCCTGACGACCAGCGGCGCGATCTCAGCTGTTTCTGCCTCAAAAGCAACACACGAGCCAGAAGGGACACAAACCTGTGTGTGTGTGTGCGTTTGCTTTCCAGCACATTACCTGGTGCCTTGTGGAGTGTCTGTTCTCATCCTGCCGATGCGACAGCATCCTTTCTTCGGACTGCTTGTCGCGTGTCGCTGCCTTGCCCTGTCAAACAAATCAACACTGTCTAGAGCCCCGTAGCAAAAACACAACAGCAGCCTCCTCCATGTTTCTACAGCATGCCAATTTCTATTTGCTTCTCTTGCTGTTTTCACATTCATCCACCGGACACTGGGTGTGATGGCAGACCAGAGGACCAGTTCAACCATCAACATGTTTCCTCAGTAACGAGGAGAATGTTTTTTATGTTTTATGTCAGATTTATGTTTATGGATCGCAAACATTAATCCACAAACAATGTAATGTAGAAATTTGTGAAAACTTTTGCAAGGCAACATATGCAGCCATGTAAATGTGTAAATGTATCGCTTTGGGTACTTTCCAGCCATTCCAGCTTTGTGTGACTATTTTTATATAGTTCCACACAATTTATCTGAAATCTTTGCAGATTTTGTATGTGTGTGTGTGTGTGCGTGCGTGTGTGCAGTCTACTTGTATATCTTTATGTATGGGCCCACATTCACCATTTTTACCCACAGACGAAGGTTTTCTGTAATAAATGAGGACTTTTTCCTATTTTTTGACTTCTACTTTGGTCTACTAGTTTGGTTTAGAGGTATTATGTGAATTAAGTTTTGGTTAAGGTTAGAAATAAACTACCACTAGTTATGAAACATGTTTAGGTTAGACATAAATATAGTTACTACAATGAATGGAAGACAATACAAAATCCTCAGATTTACTGAAGTGCAGAGATGTGTGTGTGTGTTCTTGTATTTGATACATTGTGAGGACCATTTTCCGAACACATCCCCACAACCCAAACCTAAGAGGTTTGGGCTCTTGGGGCCCAAACCTAAACCCCAGAAGAAGTGCTGTTTTTGGGTTAGAGGTTAGGTTTTGGACTGATGTGTGAATTGAGTTTATGGTTAGGTAGAGGGTTATGTGTGTACTGGTAATGGTTATGTTTCAGATAAGGGTCAGGGCTAGACTATAGAAATGAATAAAAAATAATAGAAGAAATTGCAAAGTCCTTGTGACAGAAAGAACTTTATGTGTACCTGCCTTGCTCTTTAGGACCATTCATGGCATTTTTACTAACCTTCTGAAGACTGATGGGCCTTAGAGGGACCAAAGCCCAATCCTGACACGATAGACTTCTTTGTTTATGTTTAGCAGTTAGCTTTAGAGTTAAGGTTTGAATTAGGTTTTGGTTAAGGTTAGAGCTAGAAAAAGACTAGTATTGTCAGGAAAAATGTCTGGGTTAGGCATAAATACAGTAACTAAAATGAATGCAAGTCAATACAAAGCCCTAATATGTATAGAAATACATATGTGTACCTTGCATTCATCAGCAGAGAGGTTGTGGTACAGTGGGCAGCCTGATATGGAGAAATGTCTCTCATGTCTTCCTGTTAGATGACCTGGGAGAATAACAGGAGGGGTGAGAACAAGAGGAAGATGAGAGGATGTTTGCAGATGAAAGGCAGTAAATTTAAAGCGGTATGACATTTGATCGGGGGGGGCAGCGGGGAATTGTGGCTGTGTGGCGTTTAGGTCCTCTCACCGAGTGAGTTGCATCCTGGAGTCGGACACTTCATGTTAAAATTGTAGCTTTCGTGGAATCGTCGTCGTTTGGGTCGATGGGAGAGGTTGTGGGCGGCAGCCTCTTTGAGCGACAGCTCTTTCGCCAGTCTCTCGTCCTCCTCTTGTGAAACGACAATATTGTTGTTAGAAGACACATGGTCATTGCTCGGACTGGAAACGTCAATATCTGACTCCGAGGACGGGGCGTTGCCTGTAGGGGTCCGCGGGGGCGTCTCGTCCCGCTCCGCTCCTTGTTTTGCATCTGCTGGGCGAGTTGAGAAAGATAAAAAGTCCCAAACTCCAACGTCACATTTATTTGAAATGATCCCTCTGATTTATTTTAAGGGGGGGAATCTCTGCAGGCTGCATATGTCCACACATACAGATGCAATTAACAGCCCTCAGCAGTGGCAGCACTCAGATAAATCCAATAGCGAAGAATGATGTTACTGTTGCTGAGGATCGGGCAGCTGTGAGACCCTGGCTGCCAAATGAAAGGACATATTTCAACCTGTTTTCTTTTCTGCTTTTTTTTTTAATCTTTTAGCCTTAAGTTAACACAGAAGGTGTGGTTGTGTGTGACCAGCATATTAGAGACGTAGCAGCAGCAACTCTGAATTCGGTTGTGAAGAAAAATAGCACAAAAACAATTTTTTTCTGTTCTCTTTTATCTTTCTACTGCGACCAAAATTCTTTTTCTCTGAGTTCACATATAGTTTTATTTTTGAGGGGATGATGCGTCAAAAAAATTGGGTTGTTAATAGAACTGGTCAATTTCCATCTCAACTAGCCAGTCAAAAACCACAGCTAGTTGTAACTGTTCTGTAATGTCAACTAGTATTGGCAAATTTACATGCTCTTTCTTACATGCGTAGAGAAAGAAATGCAATTCTAACGCACGCCGACAGCAGAAGCATCTGATGTAAAGGAAAAGTTTCAGCACTTACTGTTAAATGTGTTCCTGTCTTCCTTTTAGCGCATATTTTGGAAAAGCTAACAGCCGACTCAAAAAAACTTTTTTGAGGAAGTTATTTCCAATTTCGCCATTTCCATCAACCTTTTCTAATGTGATTCTTCAAAATGTGTATTCGAAAAATGTGAATGCACCATACTTAATCGCTACAACATTGCGCCAAACACAATCACATTTACCTCATCCAAAGAGTAGAAGTTGTTATTGAGGGGAAGATGACTCAAAGTTGGCAAATTTCAACTCCAGTAAGATGTTACTTGATACATGTTGAGATATCACTACTGCTCTGTTCAGGCTGTCATTTAAAAAGAGAACAACAGAACTAAAAGTATAGCAGCAAAGTGGCTCTGTTAAATCCTGTCAAGCTTTCAGGTTTCATCTGTGGAACATTCTGGGTTTGGAAATAAGTGTGTACCTCATTGGAGTTTCAGAGTCTTCAGGGAAAATAATACACAGAAATGTCTGTTCATTCTTAGCATAGCTAAGCCTGTTATTTTCAAATATAAGATGCTAAAGACAGCTAAAAATGTCAACTCTGGGGTGAGCTGTGGTGGAGCAGGGGTTAGGACGCCCCATGTTTGGAGGCTTCAGTCCTCGCCGCGGACGTCGTGGGTTCGACTCCTGGGCCCGGTGACCTTTGCCGCATGTCTTCCTCCCTCTCCTTGCCCTCTTTCCTGTCAGTCTACTGTCAAAAAATGCGAGCCACCAGCACCGCTAAAAAGTCTTTGGACAAAAAAATAAAAGTCAACTCTGCAATAATTCCTAAATCTCGTAGACTTAGGAATTCACTGATATGAAAATTTGGACCAATATTGCTAGCTGATTCTAATACTGTTGATACTGCCCCGAATCGATATCGTATTATTTTGAATTTTGTCATTTCCATCAAGCTTCGCAAATGCAATACTTTAATATGCGCATAAAAAAGAAATAAAACTATTGATGGAAATAGAGTTGGTATCTCTAACAATAAAATCAATTGCTTTAGCAGTAGGACAGAAAAAATATTCTGAACGCCATGAATTATTGTTCTTCTTGAACATTTGGAGTCGGCTTAAACCTTCATCATCAGGGGAAAGATTTCTTTCAAATAAACTCAGGGATGAGATTCAACTCCATCTGCAGGCTTAGTGTGCAATTGGTAAACAGATCCATCAGATTTTAAAAATAGATATTTTATTTATGCAAAACATTTCCACAGCGTAAAACCCCACCTGCTCTCCATCTACAAGAGACACCACTCAGTGACTGTAATTAAAGAGCGGACTCGGGGAATCTGACGTAATAGTTTCTAACAATAGATTTCACACTAAGTCAGAGCAGGAAGCTGGATGTCAACTCAATAAGTCAAACTAGATTTGCTGGCTGTAGCTGCAGGTTCATATGTAAAAGGCATGACAAATGGTGAATACATAACAGGAAAGGTTGCGAGTATCATGGCACAAAGAAAAAATATTATGATATTTTTTTTATCGTCAGTGTGGCCACTTTTAGAAAAGCGGGAGTTTTGACAGTGTTGATGTGAAAAGAAAGATCCAAAAACAAGATCCAACTGCTGCTGATCCATCTGCTATAGCGCTATTTCTGCATCCAAATATGTAGAGCTTTTAATTCTACAGTGAAAAAAGAAAACATCTCGGTAAAGTCCAAACCTCAACTTAACTGAAATACTTTGGAAAAAATATTAAAAGATGCAAATAAATGACCTAATGTATTACGGGTTTTTTTTCATTAGAGGTCATATTTGTCTAACATTTCAACTTGATATGAATCAAATCTTTTAATTTTGTCCCAATAAATAAGATGTCAAAAGTAAAAGGCTGATCTTTTAACACTTGTATGGATGTGCCTTCACCTCATTGTGAATAAAGTTTGAGAGCAGCTGCAGTTTTCAGGAAGCTTTGTCATTGGTTCCTTTGACAAGCTTCCAATTTTAGGCAACACTTATTAGGCCCCTTTCTAACCAGGAACAGACTGACTTCATATGACTTGTATCAACTCACCTGCATCATAAGAAAGAAAGGTGGAAAGAAAGAAAGAAAGAAGAAAAGAAATAAAGAAACAAAGAAGCAAAGAAAGAAAACACACAGATCCTCCATTTCTTGTTCTTCTTTCTTCTTCCTAAAATATTCCCTAATGCTACTGTTTTGCTTCACACCTTCTCTTCTTTTCATGCCTCTAATTCAGATCTTATCTTTATCTTTTTATAAGACAGAAAGGAAGAACTGCGGCTTACCATTGGCTTCTGTGTCTGAGCCAGACGACCTGCTCTGACGCAAATGGTATCTTTTAGCTTTGGGGTTTACCGCCTCCTGCTGGCTACGTGTGATCCTGCGTCCAGAGAGGACGGAGGCAGCTGTTGCTGCAGCCGCTGCTGCTGGTGCTGCTGCCGGGGCGGGGTCCGCCTCCGCTGCAGGATCGGGCCCCACATTGCGAGCGGCAGCAGCCGGGGAACTGCTGCGTAATGAGCTGGAGTTATCTAGAAGGAAGGAGGAAATGCCACTTTTCTGAGACAAACTTTAAATCACCGTCATGATGTTTTATCAATTCAAATCTAAGAGGTGGATGCAGCTAAGCACAGGATGACCCTGGAAGAAAAACTATTCGAGAATGGTTCAGTCAAAGCCTTATAACTTATGTTAGGGTCATTCTAGATGGGAAGAAAAGGAGTACATTTCAAAAACATTTGTTTCACAATTTAATAGTAACATTTTTAGATTAATCTTAGAAATGATCTAAAAAAAAATAATAATAATAATAATCTGAGTGAGTTTCAAAGTAAAAAAAGTGATAGAAAACAAATCATATTTTAAGACCAATCTCAAACATTTTCTAGAAAAACACCGGAAATGTCTGAATTTCAAATGTCAAAACTTTTCAACTTTGGAATATTTGCAGTTTCTTTGTTATATTAAATTGTTCCAATATTGTTTTATAAATTAAATTGCTGATATCATCCAGATTCAGTTTCAACAAAAAAGTCTGGATTCTAATACAAGTTTTATTACAATAATATATTATTATAATTTTTTTTAAAATTGTTCTTTAACTTGATATTAAATTGATTTACTATCTACGTTTTATCTAATAAAGTGTAAATAGTAAATACTGACATTTATTTTTTTTAAAAAAGAAGAAAGTAAAGAAACAGTCAAAAACTAATCACTGCATTTCTTTGAGAAGTGGAGGACCGTATTAATTCAACTATAAATTTAATAAAACTTTTTCACCTATATACTGATGTACAGATCCCATTAGCAGTTAGGCTAAGTACTGATGTATTGTTGTCCGTTTCTCAATGAATTATTGATATTATTTTATTGTCCAGCTTTACTAACAACTGAAAAGGGTAGAATTATAACAACAACAAAAAATTATAGACAGTCCTTTAGCAAAATTTTGAAGGTTTTTGGGTCCTTTATTCAACCTTTTTCTGTCCAGAAAAGGTGCCAGCAACTTTTCTGGACAGGAAAAGGTGCTGGCACTCAAACAAGAGACAACTGCCTCTGCAGCCAAGTTGAACTGGAGGCAATATATTTTTTTTAAATGGTCCATTTTTTTTCAAGGAAAAATCAGAGTCCTCCGTTCCATCCAAGCTGCTTCCTACCGTTCTCTGAGAAACCAGACTTTTAAGAAGACACTAACAAAGTAATAATCTGAAGTTTCATAACATAAGTTTTTTAAAGACCTATATAGCCTTTTTCTAAACTGAAGTGTTTTATCTACTTATATATAAGTAAATAAAAAATAGGCACTAAAATATTGCTAACAACCCTAAAAAAAAGTTAAAAACAAACAACAAAAAAACATTTCCTTTGAACCACAAATTTGTTTAAAAAAAAAAAACAAATTTTATTTATTTAACAGCGGTAGGAGCGGTTTACCTTGTGAGCTCTGGCTGAGGCGCAGGGATGCGCGAGTCAGGCGCGTGCTGCCGCGTCGACGCGCCCTTGCCGCAGCTCTGACGTGTTCGAGGTCGGTGGAAAAATCAGAGTCCTCTGTTCCATCTGAGCTGCTTCCTGCCGTTCTCTGAGAAACCAGAAACAGTCAGCAAATTTATGTCTTTGTTTAATTTTTTTAAAATAAAAAATAGCGCATATGTATCTGTATGTGTATATATATATATATATATATATATATATATATATATATATATATATATATATATATATATATATTTTTTTTTTTTTTTTTTTCCCCTCTTCCTGTTTCTTTTTACCAGCGATTTATTCAGCAGAGATCCCATGTTGGATGGAAAATATCACCCCTTCTATTTATCACCTTCAGCTCATCATCTCCTCTTGGACCTTTGTCAAGAAATTCTTGAAATGAGCCTTTGGACTGATTAAAATTGAGGTTTTATTCACGAGCCCCCTGAATTATTAAAAGCACCTTTTGCTTTCCAATTATTAATTAACTAACTAACAGTACAGTATGGAAGATGAAATTAGTTTTAAAACAATCATCAGATTGTTTTTATGACAAAAGATATTTTTATAATGAAAATATGTTGAACAGATACAATACCATTTCTTTGTAAAACAGAATAATTTGGAGTGAGCCCTCCTACATTTCACAAAGATTAATTACAATTACGAGTAATCATTTTTTTGGTTTGCTTTTTTTATGCATATTTCTCTTATTCAGATGTGAAAATTAATAAATAGCTACAATAAACGACAACTCCAACACTATGAAAAAAAAAATAATACAAAAATAGACCCTGTGTACATATGTCATTTACATCATAAGCAAATTTTTAGAACCACAAGCATAGAACTTATTTATAATTCTCTATGTATAGATATATAAATAAAAAGGTATTTTTGTCCCCCATGGTTACTTGTGAACCAAGATAAGCTTACAGTAGCTGCGATAGGCTGAGCTGGAATTGCCCCCCTCCATTAAAACTGCCTGGGGCCTCATGCAAGGTTGGGCCGCCCCTGCCTTCTTTAAACATTGATACATGTAGCGAATAATGTACCACGGAGAAATACAACAACAGCAGTAAAAAAGACACCTCACGGAACTGTGGGGGCTATTAAATATTTAACTGTCAACGATTATGTACCAAAAGTCAATAAATTATGCACCAGAACCGTAAACTGTAAGGATACAGTGACACCAGCGAACGTACAAGCAACAGTAAACATTCGCATTTGTAGGAGAGAAATAAAGCCGCTCTCGTGCGTTTGCTTTATTCTCCAAAAAAAATGTTCCAAGACGCGACATCCTGGTTGAACCGTCTGATCCAGACGTAAATATGAGAAACTGCTTTGGCAGCATGGCCGCATATTTGACAACTTCACAACAAGAGGGCCGTGCGTCCTATTTGCATTTCACCAATTAAGTTAGAGGGGAGGCGGGACTTGCGCAAGTCCGACCAATTAACGTAGGCGTGGTTCAAACTCCGTCCAATCGGAGCGTTGTTTTGGTGTACAGCGTTCTGTCCTGTGGAAACCAAAAAACAACCCGTGCTCATCCGTTTGCTAGTGACCGTTACAAGCCGTTAAACTTCGGTCTGTCCATAAATATGGCAAGTTGGAGGAAGAGCCAACTTAAACTAGTAATCAAGGAGTAATAAGTCGTTTAAGAAACAGCAATAATTTCTTGCAACTACGCTGTAAATATGAGCTAGCTTAGCTTAATAGATCGAGCACAAACGTATCTCTTATTGGAGTGAGTTATTAAAAGCATGCGCAGTTTGTTATTGACACCTCGAAGAAAAAAACACATTCAATCGCCTCAGCGGGTCTCGTTTACCAGCCTCAGTACCATTTCCACGGCTAACATTAGCCATGACGTTATTCTGCAACAGCGTTATACAGCCTCCAACGTCTTCTCTCACCTTTCTCCGTGGCATATCTTCAGCTGTGGAAGTATCTTCTCCTTTACGTTGGGGGAAAGTATTCAAGCTTCCATATAAGCTGCAGAAGAGAAACGCCACCAAAGCATAACATGGACCAACTCGGCTGGAAGAAGCGCACAAATTTCCCCGCACTTCCTGGAGTGCGGAGCAAGTTCGGTACGTTGACAAAATAGCTCCGCCAGATGATGCCACACCGATGAAGTCGTTTAGATATTTGAATATTTTACAACAAAATATAAATGAATTAGGAACATTTCTTAAATAATAATTATGTATGTCTTAAAGTGTTAACACTTTTATTTTGGATCTCGATCACAACACAGGTGTCACGTTGAGATGGGTCTCCCCGCAAGTTGCGCCTTTATACGATATTTTACGGCTTCGTTTTTTTATCGCGAGGGTGCACTTCATGAACTCCTGCACGAGAATACCAGTTTCCTAAAATATCTCAAGAAATTACCACCAAGGTCTTTTCAGCACTTTATAAATAACACCCTATGCCATTTAAATACATTTAACTGCTTTACATTGGTTTTATGAAATTGGCATTCTCTTTTTTTAAAGCAAACAAATAATTAAAATGAAAATTATTTTCATTACATGTGATTTTTTTTTCTGCCATGACCTTGTTGGGGTTTTTTTTAGTCAATTTCCTAAATTTTCTTTAATGCACCATGACTTGACCATAAAACTCCAAAAATAAGCGCAACGACGTGATTACTTCATGCTACCGAACACATTTTGGCGGCGGAACATGAACACCGGAAATAAGTAGGAGTGAACCCTCTCGCTGGGGACACAGGGTAATAGGTCGGTGGTCTTGTCTTATAGTCTCCAATTCTTGCTACATAGTCAAAGCCCAACCGGAAGACGGCGTGATTTCCCTTATATACAGAGTCCTAACTATTATGGCTGATAGCACCAACCCGACGGTGTACGACATTTTCCAAAGCATGGAGCAGGGACCAGCTGCAGCTACTAGCACTGCCACTGCTCAGGTGAGTCTTCCACTCTAATTCACAGCGGCTTAACTATGTTACACTAACGTAATGAATTCGCTGTAGTTGCGTCAAAAAGCCTAAATATGGCTGCATAGACACGTATACACAGCAGCGGTGCTCGACCCACATGAAGCTCATTAACTGTTAGCTGACTGTAATTCGCAAGGCAAACATGTGACTTCTGTCAGTGGACAGAAACATGAAGGAGTTACCAAATATCTATAACGTATGCAATGTTGATAATTGTGCATGCTTGGGGCCTTAAGAAATAGCCTTATGAAAACAGAAACAAACTATAGTAGCTCCTTCTTGTCAGGTTTAAAGAGAACATTTCTAACATGTAGTGTTAGGGTTCATCCTATTTCTATCATTTCTAATTGGAACATTTCTTCCAATTATGTGTCACATGCAGTGAGAAGCTGCTGTTGAATATTTCTGTTGTGTAAAAACATTTAGTTTGTAGAAGCATGAACACGTTTTGCAAACATTGTATTTGTATAAATCTACGTGGCCCATATGAGCTGAGTTGCATAAAAATCTTTGGGATTTTGATGAATTTAAACTGTACTCCAGTATTGACTTATTATGAAGCTATCGTAAATGTTTTGCACTCAACATGGAGCTGTTGGCCAGGGAACATATTAATTATTGTCATCATCGGTTCATTCTCAGTGATACACAGGACTAGCTATTACTTAATTAGTAAAAAAAAATAATTTTTTAATGGGCAGGGCACCAACTCTGGCTCCAGCCTCGGGCCCTGGGTTCTTGCAGATCAGGCCCTGGTTTTGTTCCATCCTGTCCTGCAGAACTGTTTTTAGCCGGAGAAAACCGAAGACTTGACCATAAAACTATAACATCTATGACTTTAAACATCCTAAACAGTAGCCTGTTACATTCAGAGGCTGCTTACTGAAACATGCTCCTCGCTTTTATTGCGCGGTTTGTGCATTCTGGGGTTGTAATTTAATTAATGTTGGAGTCTTTTTAGCTGCGTATTTTGTGGGAAGAACACAAAACTACTGAAAAAGAAGTACAGTTCAAGGTTGAGCTCTGCACTTTGAAGTCTGTCAATAATTGCCACGTTCCGTCCAGCCTGACCAGTCCCCGTCAAACAGAGGTGTCATCCTGGTCACCAATAAACTGAGAGCCTCAGTTTGAATCATTCTTACCCCCTTTCCCCCATCAGAGGTTTTAAATGCTGAAAGAATGTAATGTGAGGAAGATGCTAACTAGCCTTAGTGTCAATGAGGATTTACAGCACTATGATACCACCCAACCTTTCCGCTCTGATTGGTTGTTTCTGACTGAACGGTATATTTCTGCAGAGGCAGGCGAACTTCTTCAAAACAAAATTTCACAGATCATTTGGCTCATGTTATACATTAATGGCATAGTGACAGTTTCTAACAAATATGTGAAAATAGCATATTATTCATATTGTTTAAAGATTTGTGTTCCTGTTCTCCATCAGGCCTGGCTGGACCATCACTCTCGTTCTCTGGGTTTCTTCATGGATGGGAAGTTCATCCTACCAGCAGACAGACGGAGCCTCTCCCTGACTGATTCCAAAGGTGACGGCTGCGTCCGTGTCAGCTGACGACGTTTGATCAGAAATACAATTTCATGTTTCGTCCCGTTTCCCCAGGCGGTGTTGTGTGCAGCACGGCGTGCGCCGAGGACACTGACGTTTCCCAGTGTGCTTCTTCTGCCGCCGCCGGCTGGAAGTCCTGGAGCAGCATGAGCTGCTCCCAGAGAGCAAAGGCCCTGCTGAGGTTCGACTCACCCACGCTGAACCCAGACCGTTCTGCCGGGCTTTGTTTGAGCCGCTAACGTGGATGCGTCATGTCTGCCCCGAGCAGGTTGGTGGGCGTCCTCGGGCTGCACGGTCAGTGTGTGACGGAGCTGTGTACGCTGTGTGAGGCGTCCTTCTCGCCCGCCGCCCTGGTCAGGCTGCTGCAGTACTACAGCGGGTGGGCTCAGCTTAGAGACACTCTCATACCCGGCTGGACGCCTGTCGGTGAGAAATCAGTGATGCTGTGTTATTTTATCTTTTATTTTTTTCAAGGTTTTTGAATTAATTTTGTTGTTTTGTCTTCCAGGCGTGGTTGTTGTCGTCTCTTCTGATGATTGCTCTCTCTATTCTCTCATGCTTAAAGTCCTGCCTGCGTTGGCCATGGGTAAAACACTCACATCTGGGCCTCAGATACACCTTTTGTTTTGACATCTAAATCTTTAAAATAGTGTTTTTTGTGTGTGTTTTTTTTTATGAAAACAAATATCTCCACCACATCCTTTAAAAAGATATCATGCCAAACCCATAGGGGGCAGTATAGCACAAAGCTAAGACCTAGATCAGCCAGTCAGATTGCATCAAAACATTTGCATCTTCCTGTTAGCAACTAAACATGGCATCAAAAGTGTCATTTGTGTGGACAAATGTAAGTAAGGTTGTGCGCATTTTAAATAGCGTATTAGAATATAATGTTAAATTTTAAAAAAGCAGGAAAATGTCGATTTTTGAATCATCAACATGTGGATGTAGTGGTGCATTATTTGTCGCAGACTGTAATGGGAATGACACCAAATCTCAGTTTTTCCATGTACACATGCAGTTTTTCGAATCAGTTTTAGTGATATTAAACACTTTTCATGTGGATGAGAGAAAAACAATTGCATAAAATTGATTTGTTTTCCCAGATTTCCGGCTATATGTGGACGAGGCCTAAAATGTTTTCAGTGTGCCTCGAAAAGCTTTAATACCTTTGATCTTAAACACAAGCTTTAAAATACTCTTAAAGTCTTAAATTAATGTTCTATAACTGGAGTTGGAGGAGGCTACTAGTAGCTAGTTGTTCAAATATTATTGCTAGCTAGCTTTTTGCCATTTGTAATTTCAAAATTATTGCCTATTGTCTGGATGTAGGTCTTAATATCCATTCATAATATTTTAAAAAGTCTTAAATTCTTGTATCTTGAAGATTAAGGCCTTGAAATGTCTTAAATTCATTTTAAGAAATAAGTCAACCTTAAATATGGGATTCTGTTTCCAGTTTTCATTTTTAAACATAAAAAAATCCTCAATGTGTTACTTTGTGTTGGTCTTTCCTATACATTTCTAGTAAAACATTGAAATTTGCATTTAGCACATCTTTTCAAAATGTAAGAAAGTTAAAGGGGTGTGAACACTTTTAGCAAGTTGTTGTACCAGTGCTCCCTGTTTGTTCCAGGTAACTCGGTGATTGTCGTTCCTGGTCGGCCCGCCGCCCCTCCAGCGCTCCTCTTGGCGCAGCTCTTTACAGCAGCAGGGCTTCCTGCTGGCACTCTTAGCATCCTAACAGGAAGTGATGTCACGTTGGGCGCCAAAGTGTCCCAGAATCCTGACGTGAGATTGATCGCTTACTGTGGCAACAAGCAGGTGTGTTACATGTCTGACGGTAGAATCGGCATCTCCTTGTTGAATTATTTTGATATGTGACCTTTCACCCTGCTTTCTCAGGATGGGCTGGCTCTTTGTAAGGCCTCAGCGGGGATGGGTGTCCCCGTGTCCGTCTCCACATGCGTTGGCGCTACCTGCCCCTTTATCATCTTCGAGTCAGCTGACATCGACAGCGCCGTGGATGAAGTCATAGAGATTGCTTTCAAGAAGAAGAAAGAGGTGGGAGAAGGGAAGCAGCTGCAGCTTGTCTCTTGTTTTCTGTAAATCCACCAAAGTGTTGAGTTCTAAACTATTCTCTGTGCCTTCAGGTCCACTGGGTGCTGTGTGTTCAGGAGAGTGTGTCGGACAGCGTTGTGGCCCGGCTAAAGCTGCGCATGGCGAACATGAAGAGTGTACCTCTGAGCAGCGACGCTGATAGGGTCCTGGTGGATGCTGCAGTACAGGAGGCTCTTCAGCAGGGGGCGACGGTTAGTTACAAACGCACAGGAAGCTACGAATGCTTAAAAATGTAATGCTGCATTCCAGGTGTAGGTGAAACTATGGTAAAGAGAAGCTCTCCGAAGTCGCATCCCGCACTGGGAAAATGGGATCAACTCCAACTACCACCAGTTACAACTGATAAGACCGACTTCACGTTTCAAAATGGCCACTCCTCACATCAGTGGTAGTAAGATGTGGTAGAAGCAAGTTTATTTTACAAGACACACATGCTTCTTAAATTAATGTTACATTCAAGCAACTGCACATATAATTTGAACAAATTAAAGTTGATGTTTGCTCATGGAAAGTGGCGTCGCCACGTTGAAATTCTGACTTCTTAACCAGAGTGCCCAGGTGACTGGACCGCAGCAAAAGTATGAAAGCAAAACCAGTTCCACAAAAGTGGGCGGAGCCAGGAGACACTAAAGGGCGTGGCCAATTGTTAGGTTGACAAGAGAAATTCCTGTCGCCAAGTGTGTTCCTGTCGCCAAGTGTGTCTCTACATGTAGCTAAGAGAGATGATTTTCTGGGCATCTTTGATCTTAATTGTTTTGCTTTGGTTTTTACGTGTTTATAAACAAAGTTATTAGAAATAAGTGCCATTATTAAAATTTCACTGCAGTTGCAAAAGACAGTTTTTGGCAAAAATATTGCCGAATTGAACAAATTTACACTAAAGTGTTAACATTTGCACAGAAACAAAGATAGCACAATTAAGAGCCTACTTGCAAAAATAGTTGATTTGCGGATTAATTTCATTTTAAGAGCTCACAGAAAAATAGTTTCTAGACTTGTCACAGGTTGTTTTTTTAGTCAGTTTTGTTCTTTAGTTGCAGTGTAAGATTTTTGGAACTTTTGTCTTGAAATTTCAATACTACACAAAAATCTAACAGACACTTAAACTTTCTTAGCATGAGTTCTATATCAGGACGAGGTTAAAAGGTTTTCCCGTTTTGTGTTCTTGTCCTCAGCTGGTCCAGCCCTGCGGTGCCAGTTCTGGGGCCCGGTACCCGCCCACAGTGCTCTGTGGGGCGGCCCCCTCCTCTCCGTATGTGGTCTCCCCGCCTCCTGGACCGCTGCTGCCTCTGCTGACATTCAGGAGCAACACAGAAGCTGTGCTGCTGGGTAAACAAACAACACTTTAAAAAAATTGCCAAAACTCTCTTTTACAAAAGCGTTTTTGAAATTTGGGGAATGGCATCTGTTGCTGAAACATAATAGCTTTTGACATGGATTTTACTGAATCAATCACATATTTAAGTAGAAACTGACCCCGTGTTTTTGGCGCTGTCATTGTTGTCGCTCTGTTTCCAAACAGGGAACCACAGCCCTCATGGCCACGCAGCATCCATCTGGACTGAAGACCTCACCCTGGCTCTGGAGACCGCTAAGAGGTTCACATTGCTATACATGCTTTTGTTATTGCGTCACTCTTAAAGGGGCAGTATTATGTAAAAAGACTTTTTTGAGCTTTACATCCTGTTGTAATGTCATTCCTTCATAAATCATTTGCTATAATTCTTCCATGCGTGACTGAGAAATCCTTTAATCTCCATGGCAACCATTCAGCCGCGCAAAACACCTGGGCAGATCTAGCTCTACCTGAGAAGACGACATTCCTCCTCAGAGCTGCAGTTTCCAATCTTCTGCCTGGTAGGGCAGTTGTACTCGGCTCCTTCAGACTAGCCAGCAGCAATTAGTAAACACCTGGAGAAACTGCACATCAGATAAGCTCACTATATGAGATACTTCTTAGTGCAATGTTAATTAAATAAAAGGTTAAAGGTTTAATAGAGAAGCCACTTGCTGAAGGTGGAGTTTCAGAAAGAGCAGGAGTTTTTAAAGAGACAATGCCAATTTCAAGATGTTAATTTATAAAATAAAAATTATTTTACGTTATATTTGATGTATACCACATTTTTATAGGAGCTGAAGGTAGTGTAGTTATTGTATAATGCTTTAAAATGGCACTGCCCCTCTAATATCTTTAAATATTTTTAGAACTGTTAAGTTAGTTCCTCTAATTTTTAGCAATTTCTCAATCGTGGAAATTAACCCAAAATCATCAGACCCCAGAATTTTTTCACTAGTGCATAATTGTTACCTTATTGCAAATTTTCTGGAAAAATTGTAGAACTTTGGATCTAAGTGATCCCAACTCTCACCTGCAGGTGGCAGTACTTACTTCTACAAACCTGCTGCCTCAGCCTTACTTCATATCCATGATTGATATATTGAGTAACAGTAGTCACGTCTACTGTCGTATATAAATGCGAATGTTCTAAAATTCCTTGCTAATATTTGTAACGTAGAAGCCCAAAAATTGTGAAACTTCTGTTGATTTCTTTTTTGTTTTTTTACCCACTTCCTGTGACTGTTTCCCTCCAGTCTGTCTGTGGGCTCGGTGTGGGTGAACTCGAGCTCCGTCTCAGATCCCTGTTTTCCCGTTTCTGGTCACAAAGACAGCGGAACCGGAACCGACGGAGGACAGGAGGTGAGTTTGGATCTTTTTTCACCATGGCAACGGTTTGACCTTTGATACCTGTGAAACCATTCAGCTGACTGCAGTAAAACACAACAAGCAATATTTTCATTTCAAACCCCCTTTTTGGTCCTAACCGATGGAATAAATAGACATGAGTTCAAAAACAAATGTTCATAGTTTGAATCTGTTATAATGATTCTTATCTTTCCTCCAGGGTCTGTACCAGTTCCTGCGTCCTTCCTTTTCATCCCCTCTTCCTCGCCCGTCTCCTGTTTCTTTGGAATACTCAAAGTTTGGAACAGAAGCTGCCCAGGTTGTTATTCCTGATAGCCCAGACGGTGCCAGGCAAGTTTTAATCCTCCCCAGATTAAACAACACACTACAGAGTAGCTAGAACAGAGGTAAATGTTCATCTCTCTCTCTCTCTGTGATAGCATCCCTCAGTCGTACTCTCAGTTTGTCGGCGGTAAAGCATGTAAATCGGTGTCAGGCTGCAGTGTGGCTGTTCAGGCACCAGGGGGCGACAGCGTGCTGGCTTTTTGTCCCGATGGAGGACGCAAAGACGTCCGGAATGCCGTGGAGGCTGCGCTCAAAGTTCAACCTGGGTGAGAGCTGTGAGCACATATCCGCAAATAAAAACAAACAACACAATGAAAAGAAACATCTTCTTTGGTTATGTAGATATTAAAGATGGAAAGGAAAAATAATTCAAAAACTAGATTTTGTCCCTTTACAGTTGAGTGCAGCCTACAGGAAGAAAGTCAAAAATAAACTCTAAACATTTGCTATCATGTGTATGACCTGGGCTGACCAGATGTCTGTCGGAAACACGTCCAAACATACAGTTACTGGCGATTATTAAGTGAAACTTTTCAAGTTCAGACTCAGACGAAAACACATTTTATTATTTTCCCGTGCTTCTCTTGTTATCCCCGCATAGTTCAATGTGATCGAGATAAGGCTGTTCCTGCAGAGTCAGGCAGTGTCTGACCAAAGTCCAGAGATTAATCATTGACAGAGAGTGATGAAATAATTTGTAATAAACACATCGTCTCCAATCCTGAACAGCTGCTGGCAAAACTCTGTAAACCTTTAGAGTCACTGATCACACACTGACATATGACCGAGCAACACAACGTGGTATGAATGGTGGAGGAGAGCTGCATCTAACGATTAGTTTAGCAATCGTTAGAGTATTATATCAATTATTCCAATGATTAATTGATTGTTCCAATGATTAATCAATTATACCAACAATTTATTTGATCAAGAAAATTGGAACTGTCTACAGATTTATTAATCTACTCAAGTCTGTTTTGTACACGACTAAAAATACATGAAAAATGGAAATAACTGATTCAATTTCTTGTTCAAATAAGAAAATAAACATTTTATTTCCTTAAAAATGGCAACAAAGCATTCATTTAGTGAACAATTGATTATTTGCGGATTTATTTTTCATAATTTGAACCAGGTGAAGCTAAAACTGCTGGGTAGATCATGCTTATTTCCACAGACCCATTTGTTAATGTAAAAGTCTGGTAAGAATTATTCTAACACTCCTTCCCTCTGTCAGCTGGATGAAGAAGAGTCCGTCTGCACGCGCTCAGTCGCTCTACTCTCTGGCTAAAGGTTTGGAATCCAGGAGGAAGGAGGTTTGTGCGTCGGTCAGCGCCCAGCTGGGGGTTCCAGCCGAGGAGGCTGACAGAGAGGTGGAGCTCAGCGTCGGCCGGCTCAACGTCTGGGCGGCGTACTGTGACAAAGTACAAGGTGGCTCCCCGGTGAGGCCCTCGGCGTCTCTGCAGCGCCGCACATCACCGTGATCAGCGTTGACCGTCTCCTCCTCTTCCTCAGCCCATGACCCAGTCCGGCGCTGCGCTCTCCTTCCCTGAACCGCTGGGTGTCGTTGGGATCGTCTTACCTGACGACGCGCCCCTCCTCTCCCTGGTGACCGTTCTCGGCGCAGCCATTGCAACAGGGAACGCGGTCGTCATGGTGCCCAGTCAGAGGTTTCCACTCCCCTCATTGGCTTTTGTTCAGGTAAAAGAGCAGTCCAGCGCCGACGCAACAGATACAGAGATTCAAAAGAAGTATTTATGAAGTTCATATTAGGGATGCACAATATATCAGCATTAACATCAGTATTGGCCTCTACTAGTAATTTTTTAAACATATCAGTATGACTCCAATAAAAGAAACTGCGCCAGTTTAGTTAACATCTTAGAATCATCCCCCAAGTGCTTCTTGTCATCTTTTTCTTGGTTTTTGCCCTTGGAAAAATCCACTTGTTAACCAATGTGACTCGTTTGATGCGAAAAAAGTGTTTCCATTGCAGTTCCGCGAAATAAACCAATTTTGCTACGGCCGAATAACCGCCTCATCATAGCTGCAAAATGTTTTATGGAAAATCAAAATTGGTGTGATTCCATCAATTTTCAAAACTGCGAAGTTACATGATCAATGGGAACACAATTACTGTTTCCTCTTTCTCTGTCATAGGCTAACAACAGTCACCCCACTGTTGCCAACTTAGCAACTTTTCATATAAAAAAGAATGTTGGTGTTAGGATAAATCGGAATCTGTTCACCATAGTTGGTCATTTGTTGAAAGGGTTTAAATATATTGGTTATTAGTAGACAATAATGATTTTCATCATTAGCTAAAGTTTGTCCATCAGTGGTTTATAACCTTCAGAATTTTATTTTGATGCAGTTTCCTGATCTCATTTGGACTCAGATTTGTATCTTTCAAGCATGTTTTGGTCGTCATCAGGTTCTCCAGTCCTCTGACCTGCCTGCAGGTCTGGTGAACATAATCACTGGAAATCGAGACCAGCTCACGGTGGCGCTGGCTAATCACAGTGTCATCAAGGCCATCTGGTACTGGGGCAGCGCCCAGGTGAGGACGACACACTGCCATCATTAAATAGAATTAACTGTGTGTGTATATTTATATAATCTGATCATGTCTCTCTCCTGTGTGTTGTTCCAGGGCTGTCAGTACCTGCAGCACACCTGCACCAGCCCGCTGAAAACCCTCAAGCTGTCCTGGCAACAGGTCGGGGAGGGGCGCGGCGCGGCCCCGGACTGGGCTCAGCCTCACCCGTCCCTGCTGGAAGACCTGTGGAGAAACGCGGTCCAGTGGAAAAGCGTGTGGATTCCCACCGCGTGAGACGCTGACCCGGCAGAAGGATGTTTGGTTATTAGTTCTGGCAGGAGACAAAATCAGGTTAATTATTCACAACAATATGCAAGATGATTTACTCACTTTTTACATTCTGTCTGAATACAGTATATCAAAATATATGAGGACCATGGTTTTTTATTATTATTATTATTCACACTTTTTTTTTTTCCACTGTGATCAAAATGACCAGAGGCGGTAATTCTTCATACTGTCAAAGTAAAAAGTGCAATTCAAACCGAACAGTATGTTTGTATTTTATGTTGAAATCATTTCATTTTCTCTGGATGTATCAGAGTTGCACACATATTGGGTAATGCTATTAAAAATCTCTTGAGAGTGTCAGTGAACTGTCTCCGGTAAAGTCTGAGACATTGTGCTCGATTTGGTCAAACCGCAGCAGGGTTAGTGGGCGGGGCTCCTGTCACCATGGTGTCAGCTCATTTACTGTCATTGTGTGAGTTGAAACATCTGGACTTAAACACAATGTGGTTATTGTGACCAGCCTTTGTTGATATGTCACTGTTTTAATGAGTACTGTACCTTCCAGAAGTCTTCTGACCCTCTGAATATTGTAATTAACTTTTTAACCAATGTTTGCACCGATACATCTTTAATTTTGGATGATCGGCGGTCGGCCAACTTCTTACATGTGAAACCAACTTCTTACCTCTGCAAAGATTATTGTCTCTGTATGTGGAGACATTTCAAGTAGGAATGCCTGACATATCGGCAATAACGGTATCAGCCGATACTAGTAACATGTCAGTATTGGTCCAATTAATAAAAGTGGGCAGAGATAAACAACCAATTTTTACTTTTATCTTGTTCTGGTCTCTTCAGTAGAGAAATGTTATTAGAGAAATATTTGTCATGTAAAAAAATATTGGCCCTCCCTAATTTCAAACAAAAACAAATTGATATTGACTGGTGAAGCTTTCAAAAACTGGAGATTGGCCAGGAAACTGCAGATGGTGAACCACTAGGCAACCTCTGAAGGGATTTTATTACACTTGATTTTATTTAGGATTTTGTCAGAGTGAAGGACTTGAATCTTTGCCAGAGATTTAACTTTTGATGATATTGCATCCTTCTCTTTTCGCTTCAAAATGACGCACTGCTATCATGTAGTAGCAGTAAACTCCCAATGAAATAAAGTGAAGTTTGTGGTTTATAACGTGACCAAAAGTACGAACGATTCAGGAAGTATCAGTACCTTGACCAGGTCCTAGATGTGCAGTTTAGATCAGTCTCTAACTGCCTTACTGTTGCTCACCAGAAGTCTTTTCAGGTCCACCAGACTGCTGCGTCATCTTGGGGTTCAGAATGACTCGTACCATTAACTGCTTAAAGTGACTGAGCTCAGTTTTCCCAGAATGCTCTGTGATCTTCATGGAACTGTGCCTGCATCTGTGGGCAAGTATAAACAGGACTGTTTACACTTGGCCACTGTTTATATATATTTTTTTATGACTTGGCAAAAAAAAAAAAAGCTAACTCAGTTAAAAATGACTGTTCGTCTTTATTGCTGTACCATAAAACTGTAATAGAGGCCACTGGTTCGCTATGCAGTGTAAGCATTATCTTCAGGATGTGAAGATCTATGTTGAAATTGTGAAATGAAATATATTTTAAAGTTTTTATTACCACAGACTCACCAGGTACGTTTCTGTCCTAAGCCATAAATTAAAGAATTACACAAAGTATCCAGTTTGATGTGTGACTTGGTGCTTTTATGAATGATCTTAAATGCATTTCGGTATGCTTACCAGATTTCACTTGTAGATTTGTTGCTTTGAGTTTACAAATTTAGAATTAATTTTATTGCTAGTTTATATTTTACGCAGAAATCTTTGTATTGTTGCTAGTTCGCGAGCCTAACCATTTCTTTCCACTCATCTCTCTGCGATGCTCCGTCTGGGCTTCTGCCCACTGAAGTGAATTTCTCCGGTACAGTTTCCAATCGGCAAACAGAAGGAGAAGTTGTGAATATCGATTTTTCTGTGCTGTTTAAAAGGTTTTTGGCAGCGGCAGCAGAGGAAGTCATTCAATCCATGTTGGTCAACACTTCCAAATTTTGAATGAACAGCCGCCTCATTCGGATTAGTAGTTCTCTCTTCGTACTGGATTTTCAGTAAGCTTCATAGTGTCAAACTGGCGCAACACCTACATTAAAAACTTCAGCGGCGTCCATGCCTTCAGCAAGGAAGTATTTCTAAATAGCCAAGCATACAACAGTTGGATTTTAGCATCACGTAGCTGGACTTGGTGCTACGTTGTGATCAAAAGATGTTATAGAGAAGCTTATGTGTTTAACATCCACATTAAGTTTGTTACTAAATTGGTTGAATTGGCTTGAAAACATTTCTTGAATAAAGAGCTGTTTGGATGGGACCTTTAACCTCCCTGATTCTGAATTAAACTGGTGAAGTTCATTTAAACTGGTCTGTTTCCTCACAGATCTAACTTTGTAAGCACAGGCCATAAATATTTATAATGGTTGCTGTGTTGACTTCTGGGGGGTAATTTTAGCTTCAAGTTAGCTCAATGTTAGCCTGCTTTATCCATGAACTTGTTTTGATGTGTTTAGAATCATTGTCCTGTTGGATCACTTGTGATATCAAAGAATCTCTTGTTTCCACCTTGTTCTTTATGTGTTCTTTGTACATGGTCTCCTTGTGCTGTCATCTTAAACTTATTCAAGCAAAAAAAAAAAAAAAAAAACCCACTATGGTCTATTTATGCTGGCCTTTTTGTATTAAAAAACCACGCAGTGTGTGGCAGCACGCAGTAAAATTCAGTTCACAGTGGACGGAGACGCAGGCGGCTCATAATTAGACATGAACCAAAAAGGATTTGCTCCTAGCGTCTCATTTTCAGAAACCAGTTTTGCTTCCCTTTTAGTTTTTGTCCCAAACTGGTTCCAGCCAGCAGCCTGCTGACGTAAACGCCTCTGAGGTCACAAGACCTGTCTCCTGCCGCCACTGTCTAACCCGAAGAGGAACAAAGTACCAGGAAGCGCAACCGGGAGGCTGAGAACTGCCGAGTCACAACAGTGACACTGCACTTTTCTGGGCTGACTCACATCCTGCTTCTGAGAAAAAAAAAAAACGACCTACGGAGTCATATGAGAGAGAAAGAAATGGAAAATGCAGAGTCACTGTCTGAGTTCAGCTAAACGTTTTGCACACAACAAATTGTAGTTTTTAACCTGTGGATTTCTCTATTTCTCTGTTTATTTAAAGGGGAAAATTCCCATTAATACATATAAACTCTTTAAACTGTTTTGTCAGTCCCACATGCCAATTTCAATTTGCAGCCTCTGGTCGATGAACGGTATAAAACAAGTTTTGTAAAGACTGACAGAGGGTTACCTTCCAGAACATTCCCTGATGTAAACATCTTACATATTTAGCATTGTTCAGTGCCAAGAATGTAATTGCTTACTTCCTTTGACCTCGTGGGGATTTTTTTGTCCACTTTGTTTGTCTCACATATTTCCAGTTTCATAAGCGTTCCAATGATTCAGAGCAAAGAAACGCAAACCGAATTGAAAAAAAAACGTCACCATGCCTCAGCAAATTTAGTGTATCCAATTAAAAACGTTCTGTAAGCACTTGATGTCAAGAGAAGATCTGATTTCTAAGACGAGCTTGCAGGTTCTCATGACGCTTTATCTTATCAGCATGTTCTGCAGGAGTTGTAACCGAATATTTTCAGTCTTCTTTGCTTTCGCTGACTCACAGTTCTCCATGAAGGCCTGAAACTAAAGAGTTAAGGGTGAAAATGCAGATTGGAGACCAGATATCCAACCCATAATGCCACCTGAAACGTAAGGCTTGATCAAAGTTTGATGAGACAGCACAGCTGAGGTCATCATGCGTAAATAATTCAGCCGAAATGGCTACAGTATTTTTCTAAGAAGGATGAAGCATTTGTGTAATTTTCCCTTCAACTTTAGCTTGAGTTGCTTACTGTACGTTCATATTTTCATCGACAACTTTTCAATGTGTGATCACTTGAATGGCGATAATTAATAAAAGATAAATAAATGTTATTCCATTTGAATCTGATCTATTTATATGTATGTTACCTTGTACAGGGAATTAAGGAGTTTGTTACTGTTTGTTACTGTTTTTCTTACCGCGAACTTCATCTATTCCGTTAAGATTTTAAACGATAAACCAACACAAAGTGATGCATAAATTAAAAGATGGGAGGAAAATGGCACATTGTTTTTATTCCTTTCTTTTTATCAAAAGTCATTTTAAAAAATAAAATAAAGTCAAAATGTTGTCCTTTAACTGCTGCTAAAGATGCCAAACTACTAAACCAAACACTTTCAATGTTCACACAAATTATTAGGATTGTGACTGACAGGATAAGTTATTTGTTTACAATTATTTTACTGTATATTTTGATATTGCATGGATTCTTATGTTAAACTGTGTAATGTAACATTCAGGGTGACGAAAGGCACCTACAAAATAAAAAGTATTATTATTATTGTTACTCAATTATTTACAACCCAAATACCCAAGCAGACACTTCCACGACTGAAGTTCGAGTTACGTGATTACGGGTGAACCTGCTCTGCAACGTGAGGCTCTTATAGAAACAGGAAGTGTCTGATATGCATCGGCCATCGATGAATCACAGAGGAACTATATGTTCCCACCAACCTCTGCAAGTTTGCAGACGCTGATTTTGTGGGCATTCATTTCTTATCTATTTGCTTACTAGTAGAAGTAGCTGAAAAGCGCTGGAATGTCCACGAAGCTTGTGAAGCAGGGCTGTGGTTGTACTGTATGAAAAGGTCCTAAACAAAGCAGCTGACCATCAAGACATCAATTACTGGTCTGCTGTGATGTGTCAGGGTTACATGTACTAACATTCACTCACAACAAATTGGGAAAACACATAGAGAAACTCTTGCCACATGTTTCAGACATCCAAAGGTTTGGATGTCAGATTTCAAGTTAAAGTACGCCGAGGTCCTGACAAAATCCAACCCTGGGTGTTCCTCTGCAGTAACATTGTTAGTAGGAAAAAGACAGAGTCTTTGTTCATAAAAATGTCACCAGATTTTTCCTTGGCTTAATGTTTTCTGCAGTGACATAATGTCTGAGGCCTTTTCATGCTTTGTAACGTCTTGCGACATTGCTCTGCTATTGAGTAAAGCCCTGAAAGTCACTCTGGTTGTATCCCAATGCCACATCAGCGGTTTTAAAAGTCATGTGGTGTTTTAGGAAGTAAAAGTTCAGTTTATTGGTTTTGTGCAGTCATAAAATTAGCTACCGTGTTTTAGTGAAGGTCAAATTAAGAGGATCTCAATGGTGCCCTTTAAATTGCTAGTTTTTTTGGTCCGAAAGCATGAAACGATGACAAATGATTTCACAAACAAGTAAAAAACACGATAACGATGCTCATTCGCGGCTCTACTAACATTGATTAGTTTCAATCAATGACAGCTAAATATCACTGATCTGCACCAAAATTGAGGTTTATTGTGATGGACTCAGACCTGAACTTACAGAGACACATAAAGACAGTTACAAAGTCAACCTTCTATCACCTGGAAAAAAAATCTGGATTAAGAAATTAATGTTCCAACAGGTTCTTGAGAAACTCTTGCATTTAAATTTGGTCAAATTGATTATTGCAGCAAGACTGCCTAAAAAAGACAATCAGACAGCTGCTGCTGGGGTTCCCACGAGAACCAGGAAAGACAGACCACGTCCCCCCGGTTCTAACGTCGTTCCACTTTAAAATACTTTTGTTAGTGTATAAATGTAGACCACTCAGATCTTATGGTTCTAGTCTGCTCTCCTTCCCCAGAACCAAACAGGTTTAATTCTCCACTCATCTAGAAAAATGCCCAAATAAAACAGCTCAGATGTTTTAAATCAAGTATAAAAACCCATTTGTTCAGTTTGATTAATATTAACTGGAACATTATTTCTTTTAGTCAATATTTAAACTTTTTTCATACGCTTCTTGTCTTGTTGCTGGATTGTGCTATACTTAAAACCTGCCCTGGCTTCCCTTGATGCAGTGATTCAGTGCAACCAGCTTCAAAACAACCATCAATTTGTGGCTGTAAGGCCCCACCTTTGTGTGTTTCATAAGAGACAGCTCAAAGAGCACGGCAACATGTTTTAAAAATGATCGTTGATTTCCTTAGATTCGGGCCAAATGTGTTAATTGTCGTGTTTAAGCAAAATGTGCTACATAATCAGTAAACACATAGTTCACATTAACAATTTGGATCAATTGCTTGTTTAGCTGATTTCTTCACGTAATTCTGGGAAAACACGTGGTCATCGCAGGTGGCACCAGAAACATTCGCTATTCCGTGAATTAATAAAGGAGAGGATGAAATTTGATGGTTTCACATTGTTGTGTCTCAGAAAAGCAACAGCCCGATCCTTCTGATCTCACCCTCGATTGCTGATTGGCGGAAACCTGCAGAGTGACGTTGACGTCAGTCACGAGGTCTGCCCAAACTGTATAAATAGAGAGGAACATCGACTCCACTCACAGAACGGGGAACAAAGCCCAAAGAGTTCTTGCTTCAACAGTGTTTGAACGGAACTTCTTTTTTTTGCCTTCCCAAGCTCTGCTTGAACCTAACAGACTCCAGCGCTACTTAAATCCTGTTTCTACTTGAACACTACTGAAGAAGTCGACGTAAAGCTTTATTTTTCTACGTTTTCTTTTTGTTAAAAAAGCACAAAGAAACGCCAGCCAAGATGGAATCCCAGGTGCGTCAGAACTACCACCGCGACTGCGAGGCCGCCATTAACAGGATGGTCAACATGGAGCTGTTTGCCTCCTACACCTACACCTCTATGGTAAGACAAATGAGTATGCACTGTTTTAAGCCTATTCTGCCCTTAATTAGTCGGCCGCACCTCGTTGAATAAAATGCTGCGTCACGGTGAGGCTGCAGTTGTTTGTCAGACTCCGCCATTACTCACGCGGCTGTCTGTGGCCGAATAATGATAGGGCACGAGTAGTTTTAATAATTGTTTACCTCTTGTTTGTTCAACAGGCTTATTACTTCTCCCGCGACGACGTGGCTCTGCCGGGCTTCTCCCACTTCTTCAAGGAGAACAGTGAGGAGGAGAGGGAGCACGCCGAGAAGCTGCTGTCCTTCCAGAACAAAAGAGGAGGCCGCATCTTCCTCCAGGATGTCAAGGTAACAACAGCTAATGCTAACAAGAGACACGCAGCAGCCATTTTGATGTTTAAAATACAACTTAAATCAATTTACTGCAATACAATAAAACTATAAATGTTTTCCATTTTACAGAAACCAGAGAAGGATGAGTGGGGCAGTGGACTGGAAGCCATGCAGTGTGCTCTGCAGCTGGAGAAAAATGTCAACCAGGCTCTGCTGGATCTGCACAAAACTGGCCTCTGATCATGTTGATCCTCATGTAAGTTAAGTCATATTTTTGCTTCATTGACCCTTGATGTGTGTGAATCTAACACACTATTCTGTTTCAGCTGTGCGACTTCCTGGAGTCCCACTACCTGAACGAGCAGGTGGAGGCCATCAAGAAGCTCGGTGACCACATCACCAACCTGACCCGCATGGACGCCCACAACAACAAGATGGCGGAGTACCTGTTTGACAAGCACACCCTGGGAGGCAAAAGCTAAATGCCCAGAAGGGAACATGGAGTAGAAGTGTGTGTAACAAAGGCTTCAGGCTAAATTTGTCTACTCCAGAGTTTATCAAGCATTTCATTGAGTTAATCAGTTTGTCAAGTTGTAGAGTTGAGTGTCTTTATCCAGAAGTGTAATAAGTAGTTGGTCAAAGTGTAACTTCTGATTCTCTGAATAAACATTTTGAGCTGGAGTTCTGTGGTCTGACTGGTTTATAATTTGAGGCCCTTGTGGCTCCAAAACAGGTAAATTCAAAGGGATGTCCTGGTTAAAAGTGAAGCAGTAAAAAGTTTGAAATGGTTTTGGAAACAATGTTTCCAAAAGAATTAACAGAAGATCCCAAAGGGAAATGAAACTGCACTTAAACAGGTTCATAAATTTTAAATGTCACCTGGCATTTCTCCTGAAAGATGTGCTTCAATGAGAAAGAGATTTAAGAAACAAACATGAGCTGAAGTACTTTAAAGCAAAACCTTTGAAGAAACTTGAAGAAAGTCTTGGAATTTTAACAAAAACTACAGTAAAATAAAAATATGAAATGCATTAAGAAAAAAAATACCTGCTTTACCAACTGTGTAGAAACTTTTATTACTGACTACCTGCATGATTTTTATGAATTTCTGTAAGTTTTTCTGTTACATCGGCTGAGTTGCTTGGGAGTTTTGTTGTTGCCTAGCGCCATCTGGTGGAAAAGACTTCATTTCGCTACAGTTGTGTATCTCTAAAGGTAAATTCAATCAAATGTTAAAATGGAGTCAGCTCTTAAATATATCTTTAAACTGATGATCTCTACGTGTTTTTCTTCACTAAATGGCAATGACTTTTTTGTAAAAATTAAAATAATTTTCAATTAATCTTAATTATTTGCTAATCAAATCTTTTTAGATCCATCACTACAAAGTATTTTCTAAAATTGTCATGTAATCCTGCCAGAAATTGAGAAATTAGCTGTGCCGTTCATATCGTTATTGATCCTATTTTTAGCATGAAGTTGGATAATTCTGCCTCTACCTCTTATCTGAGGGGTGAAAACTTTAATTAAGATCTGCCCTGTTCTGCCCCAGGGGGCCGAGTTCATCTGACAGTTGTGTCGGGTTGGGGGCCTGTCCGGTATGGAGAGAGATAGAGGTTCATGCAAAAGGAGGTAATTGTTTCAAAAAGATGAATCCCTTTTTATGAAAACCACCAGGAAAATATATTCATCTGTAAATATGCCATAAAATGCAATAGTTCAGTAAGCTGGTTGTACTCTCTGGTCCAATTCTCTGTTGGTTTTAATCATACCAAAGGAACATAAACTTTTCATTGGAAATCACATGAGAGGTTCAAAAAGATTAAATCCAGAAACCCTTCCTATTTAATATCTACCATAACTATGAAGATGATACACAGCAAATCAATGTGGATGGATAACAGTCAGGCTGTAGGGTGTAATTTAGCCTAAGTTTATTAGTATGATTATTATTTTACCACAAACTTTAATGAATTTCATTGAGTTTTTAAATGATAAACCAAAACAAAGCAATGCAAAATTATGGAGTGGAAGGAAAATGGTTCATTGTTTTCTTGCACACATTTCTTTGTTTTTATCAAAAATCAATAATGTTGGTGTAGATTTTAAAGCTTCCTTCACTTTGATGACCATGACAGAAATCCAGTGCTGCTAATAGTTGAAAGCCACTTTTTAAAGAGAAAACTCAGAGAACACTGAAACATATTTTAAAGATAATGATTAATTCACTTAGAATTTGGCCAAATGTTTTGAATGTTTATGTTGAAGCAAAAAAGGTTATAAAGTCATTGCACACGTAGTTCACGTTAACAATTTGAATGAATTGCTGATTTAGCTGATTTCTTCATATAATTCTTAGAAAACACATTGACATCGAATGTAGCTTCATGTTAAAAAAGAAAACTCCACGGTTCACCATTTCCATGAACCAATAAAGGAGAGAACGAAATATGATCGTTCACCGATCGCGATTCTGCTCATCTCATCCTTGATTGCTGATTGGCGGAAACCTGCAGCGACTTTGACGTCCGTCACGAGATTCTGTATAAATACAGAGGAGCGTCGCTTCCGTCACAGGACGGGGACCAAAGCCTTAGACAGTTCTTGCTTCAACAGTGTTTGGACGGAACTTCTTTTTTTTGCCGACCCAAACGGACTCCAGAGCCATTTATACCCTGCTGCTAATTAAACACTACTAGAGTAGTCGACATAAAGCTTTATTTCTCTCAGGGTTTTGTTACAAACACAAGAAAACGCCAAACAAGATGGAATCCCAGGTGCGTCAGAACTACCACCGCGACTGCGAGGCCGCCATTAACAGGATGGTCAAACATGGAGCTGTTTGCCTCCTACACCTACACCTCTATGGTAAGACAACTATTTCCACTGCCTTTGCTTCATTAGTCTGCCTTCAACTATGTACCCGCTTCACCTATGAACCACCTCGTCAAATAAAATGCTGCATCTCTGAGGTGCAGGTTTCCTTTCACAATGAAAAGAATGGAGACCCACTAGGTGAAGTTAGCTGACCAGAATATAGCCTGTGTTTAATTTTAGTCAGTGTTACACTTAGTGTTGATGTGTATGGTGTGTTATTGGAACATTTTATAAATACTGAATGCAACATTTACCAGCCAAATACTGGATGATTCTGTGTTTTCTGGGAGGAAACTCAGCTGAGCTTCTTACCAGACTCATTACTCAACTTGGCTTGACCAAAGCTGCTGCTTCACCACATGATGGGAATCCAGGTGTTTCATGAACTACTTTCTCGTTCAACAGGCTTATTACTTCTGCCGCGACGACGTGGCCCTGCCGGGCTTCTCCCACTTCTTCAAGGAGAACAGTGAGGAGGAGAGGGAGCACGCCGAGAAGCTGCTGTCCTTCCAGAACAAAAGAGGAGGCCGCATCTTCCTCCAGGATGTCAAGGTAACAACAGCTAATGCTAACAAGAGACACGCACAGCCATTTTGATGTTTAAAATACAACTTAAATCAATGTACTGCAATACAATGAAAACTATAAATGTTTCCATTTTACAGAAACCAGAGAAGGATGAGTGGGGCAGTGGGCTGGAAGCCATGCAGTGTGCTCTGCAGCTGGAGAAAAATGTCAACAAGGCTCTGCTGGATCTGCACAAACTGGCCTCTGATCATGTTGATCCTCATGTAAGTTGTTATAATTTTGCTTCATTGACCCTTGATGTGTGTGAATCTAATAAAGGATTCTGTTTCAGCTGTGCGACTTCCTGGAGTCCCACTACCTGAACGAGCAGGTGGAGGCCATCAAGAAGCTCGGTGACCACATCACCAACCTGACCCACATGTACGCCCACAACAACAAGATGGCGGAGTACCTGTTTGACAAGCACACCCTGGGAGGCAAAAGCTAAATGCCCAGAAGGGAACATGGAGTAGAAGTGTGTGTAACAAAGGCTTCAGGCTAAATTTGTCTACTCCAGAGTTGATCAAGCATTTCATTGAGTTAATCAGTTTGTCAAGTTGTAGAGTTGAGTGTCTTTATCCAGAAGTGTAATAAGTAGTTGTTCTAAGTGTAACTTCTGATAAACTGAATAAACATTTTGAGCTGGAGTTCTGTGGTCTGACTGGTTATAATTTGAGGCCCTTGTGGCTCCAAAAAGGTAAATTCAAAGGGATGTCCTGGTTAAAAGTGAAGCAGTAAAAAGTTTGAAATGGTTTTGGAAACAATGTTTCCAAAAGAACTGTCAGAAGACCTAAAGGGAAATGAAATGGCACCTAAACAGGATTATGAATCTTAAAACCACCTGGCATTTTTCCTGAAAGATGTGCTTCAATGAGAAGCAAGAGATTTAATACACAAACATGAGCTGAAGTACTTTAAAGCAAAAATTTGTGAAGAACCTTGAGAAAAATCTTTTTAACCAAATTACATTACATAAAAAAAAAAATGAAAAGCATTCAGAAAAAAATATCTGCTTTAAACTGTGTACAAACTATTTATTACTAACTACCTGCATGGTTTTTATGAATTTCTGTAAGGTTTTTTTTTGTTACATCGGTTGAGTTGCTTGGAGTTTTGTTGTTGCATGGCGCCATCTGGTGGAGAAGATCTGCACGACATTTTGAAGTTTATTTAGTTGTGTAACTTAAGGTAAAATCAATTAGATGTTAAAATGGAGTCAATTCTTTAATCTCACTGCGTGTTTTTCTTCACTTGACGAAATGGCGATGATTTTTAAAAATGTCTACTTTTTGTAAAAATAAAATAATAATTTTCAATTAATCTTAATTATTTGCAAATCAAATCTTTGAAAATCCAACGCTATAAAGCATTTTCTAAAATTGTCATATAATCCTGCCTGAAATTGAGACATTTGTTGTGGAGTTCATATCATTGTTGATCCTATTTTTAGCATGAAGTTGGATAATTCTGCCTCTACCTCTTATCAGAGGGGTGAAAACTTTAATTAAGATCTGCCCTGTTCTGCCCCAGGGGGCCGAGTTCATCTGACAGATCTGCTGGGCCTGTCCGGTATGGAGAGAGATAGAGGTTCATGCAAAAGGAAGTAATTGTTTAAAAAGATGAATCCCTTTTTATGAAAAACCTATTCATCTGTAAATATACCTTAAAATGCAATAGTTCAATAAGCTGGTTGGACTCTCTGGTCCAATTCTCTGCTGGTTTTAATCATACTAAAGGAACAGGGTTTTTTCTACTTTCAATATGGAACTTTTCATTGGAAATCACATGAGAGGTACAAAAGATTAAATCCAGAAACCCTTCCTATTTAATATCTACCATAACTATGAAGATGATACACAGCAAATCAATGTGGATGGATAACAGTCAGGCAGTAGGGTGTAATTTAGCCTCAGTGTATTAATTTTAATATTATTTTACCACAAACCTTCATAAATTTCATCGAGTTTTTAAATGATAAACCAAAACAAAGCAATGCAAAATTATGGAGTGGAAGGAAAATGGTTCATTGTTTTCTTGCACATATTTCTTTTTTTTAAATCAAAAATCAATAATGGTGTAGATTTTCAAAAAGCTTCCTTCACTTTGATGACCATGACAGAAATCCAGTGCTGCTAATAGTTGAAAGCCACTTTTTAAAGAGAAAACTCAGAGAAACACTATTTTAAAGATAATGATTAATTCACTTCTAGTTAGGCCAAATGTTTTGAACGTTTATG